TATTTTAAACAAAATTACCCTCTTGCGTTTTATTCCTAGCTCTTGTCACTTTTCCGTAAATAAACGTTTTGTAAATACCATTTTTTCCTATTGCTAACATAGGAAAATGAAAATAAAAACATTATAAGTATGCTTTGACCAAGCCACCAAAATTTGTTTTCAGATGTTTTCAGACAAAACATCATTGTCAGTCATGACATCTAGCTTTCCTTAAGCGGTTGTACTTTGGTTTAGATCTGTTAGAAATGGAATACTCATTTCCAGAATTAGCAGATATGCATTTTATTTACAGCCTTGCCAAGGGGAATACTATGTTAGCTGTGCGTCTTTATGTTGAACGTTTTCCAGCTCGGTGTATTCCAAATAGGAAGACTTTTTCGAGAATTCATGTGCGCTTACGTGAAACCGGCTCGTTAAAACCTTGCACCTCCGGCGGAAGATCTCGAAATGTAAGGACAGTACAACTTGAAGTACCACATCCTTCAGATGATCGAGGTGAATCGTAAATCAAGTAGGTACTAGAAGAATTGGAAGAATGGAGAGAGTAAGTCATATGACTGTCCAACGAATCCTGCATGATAATCTGCAAAGAGTTCAGGCGCTTTCTGTCGAAGATTATGCACCACGTCTTAGATTTTGTACCTGGTTTTTAAATAAGTGCAATCGGAACTTGTTATTCCACCCATCCATTTTATTTACCGACGAAGCTGGATTTACAAGGGATGGTATAATTAATTTCCACAATAGTCATATGTGGGCTGATGAAAATCCGCATGGAATAATACAATCCCGGCACCAGCAACGATTTTCAATTAATATTTGGACCGGAATAATTGGCGATTTTTTTTATTGGCCCCATAGTACTACCAAACAAACTAGGCGGTTTATCGTATCTGAATTTCCTTCAAACAGATTACAACCTTTAGTAGAAGAAGTTCCAATTGAAACACGCTAGAACATGTGGTTTATGCATGATAGCGCCCTCAATGAAACGTTCCCCAATAAATAGATAGGTCGATGGATAGTAGGCATTTTTTTAAGAAAGAAATGGATAGCATTTTTTGATTTGATCACACCTCAAAACACTAAAATCAAAATTTCATTATTGTAGCTGTTACAGGTTGTTCACAAAATAGGTACAAACGTCCATGTATTGCAGAGTGTCCTGTATTAACAGTGGAAAATATTTTTAAGATATTTTTTCATAATTTTATTAACCAAAGGTATATCCATGCAGTTTCATTGATTTCACTCATACAGGGTGCTCACAATAGGACAAGCAAATTATATATTTTTTACCATTATTTATACCAGAAATGAGTTTAATAACTCTCCTCAACTGATGTGGTGTTATTTGTCGACATGTTTGTCTATTACATAAATCTTCTCTGTTCTGGGGCCTTGTTTTATACATTATCTTTTTCACAGTTCCCCATAAAAAAACATCAAGAGGCGTCAAGTCTGCCACTCAGCTAACGGACTGTTGTGACCTATCCACTTTCTTGAAAAATACTCATTCAACCAATGACGTACTATTACCGCATTATGAATACGTGCTCCATATAATTGAAGGTAGAAGTTCTGTCTTACATGAAGAGGAAATGTATGTACTAAATCCCAGAAATCATTGTTTAAAATATTCATAAAAATCTCTGCGTTTAGTTTAACGCAAAAAAAGAGGGGCCCGATTATTCGATCACATAAAATCCTACAAAACACGTTAATTTTTTTAATTAAGATTTATGTAATACAATTAGACAAGCATGTCGACAAATAACACATCAGTTGAGGAGAGTTATTAAAAATAAGAGGAGACGAATTGAAGAGTGCATGGTGGACTAATAGAAAATAGTAATACATATTTAAATATTATTTTGTTGTGAAACTCATTTCTGGTATAATAAAAAATATATATAATTTGGTTGTCCTATTGTGAGAACCCTGTATGAGTGACATCAATGAAACTGCATGGATATACCTTCGATTAATAAAATTATGAAAAATTGTTTTCGAAGTTTGCACCTATTTTGTGAACACCCTGTAATAGCTATAATAATGAATGTTTGTATTTAGGGTTTTGAGATGTGATCAAATCGAAAATGCTAACCATTTCTTTCTTAAAAAATTCCTGATATGTCTTTTAATTTATGAGGGCCTTTTCTTAATGATAGTAGGCCGTAGAAAAGATCACATGTAAAAAATATAATATCAAAAAGTACGCCTTTTGGAATTTTGAAAATCGGCCAACGCCATCCTAAATACGGAGGTGTCCTGACTTTAAGTGAAACACACTGTATATGCGAAATTTCGAAAAAACGAAAATTTTCTGTAACACTATAGCAGTTGCGCCCCCTAGCGGTGAAGTTACAAATTTGAAAATATTTTAAATCGATTTCTTTTGGCCGTATTTGTTAATAAATTTTTTACCCCATAATCGTAGCATGTTTAGTTTCCTATATACAGCTGCTCCGTACTGTTAATGGATCACCCTGTAGATATTTTTTTTTATTTTTCGAAAATTTTTAAAAAGTGACCTAAGATGCTTAACTAATAACCGATTAAATTATTTATCATTTTACTTTTCTGAATTGAATAATTAGGCATAACTGGCAATGAAATCAATTATAATTTGAGTATTCTTTTAAAATAGTTGTAAATAAAACTGTGTTGATATAAATATTTTCTTACAACACTTGTAAATATAGAAAAAAATGTCAGAAAAGTTCAATAGAATACAGAAAATGTTACACAATCTGGTTCAGTCAATATTTTTTTTATCACTTATACATTTGATAGAATGCAAATGAAAATAATTTATACTTACTTTATATTCCTTCGTTTAAGTCTTGAAATCACTGCCGGTCTGATTTTTGAAATACCGTTTTCACTCCTTTTTCCTCTACCAGTAATTATTTGTAAGTAATCCGAGTGTCTATTATTGCTAAGTTTCAACAGGTTTATATTTCGGTCTAAAAATACATCTAGAGCAGGTATTGCTTCTTTCACATAGAGAAAATGTAAGTCGATAGTATTAAAATCTTGCAAACGCTTTGAATGCTCATCCAAAAATGCTGTGGCGGCCATATTATTAGCTCTGTCATAGTAAAGGGTTTGTTTACTTGCTAAACCAGAATAAAATTGAGCAACTTCTGTCATACCTCGTTGGTGATACTGTTGAGCTTTTTGATATAATTCAGCTCTTTTTTTAAGATATCGGTTTGCTTCTTCTCGATAATAAGTAGGTTCATGTTCTTCGTCGTAAGTCTAGCAAAACAAAATATTTGTTTCTTTTTAAACAATAGTACATTGTGTATCTAGTAGTAAAACCATAATTTTAAACATTTATCTTATTGATAATATTAATTTAACATAATCAATATTCTAAAAATTAAAAATCCTTAATATGAACAGCTTAATGCTCAATAAAAAAAAATTGCTTATGGTCCACCCACCGGAGAGCTAAAACTTTCAAACAAGCTTAGTACTAGAGAAAAATTAAAAAAAAAAAATTAAAATGAACATTGAGGATGACGTCCAGGATACCACTAGAATTACTTGCAGATACAGAAAAATGTGACTTTAAAACTGTTAAATAAATGCAGGGAAAGAATGAATTTACAATTAACCATAGAAGTCAAAAGTTTAATCAAACAAACAACTTGAAATGTTTATTAATCAAGTGTTAGATCATATCATCATTGATAATGCAAAAGGGTGTAATCACCGAAACTGCTCCTTGAGTAATTTCTCAGGAAAACAATGACAAAAAGTCATTCAACAGAATTTTTTGTGATTTGTATTTGTATACCTTATAGATGAATACATATGGTTTTACAGAATTGCATGCTTGTAGTAAGATAATAACGCACCTATAAAGAAGTACTATTAGCAAGCTTGAAACTAAGTGTCTGTTATTTCACCGAAGTGTAAACTATTTTTATTTCATAGAGTTAAACAAGTCGAATTTTGGGCCGAAAAAAGAGTATTTGTGGGGAATTTTACTGCACTACTTGTTCCGTCGCAAACAGCATTCAGAGATTGGGTTTAGACACTGAAAACATACGGAAGATCACTATTGACTACAACTGATGCATTTGAACCGAGCATTGAAGGAACAACACCTGCTATACAAGCAGAGTTACAACAAACTGATTTTGCAGCATGACAATACTCAGCCACATGTGCAAAATCGGTGAAGTACTTTCATTCTTATGAAGACACCAAAAAAATAGGTTGACCCTTGGATAACCTTAAAGAACGTGTTGTCTTTCCGAAATGGAATTAAAGTGCTGTCAGTAAGATGAAAAAATATAGGATATTCCACTAAGGTCGGTGAGGTACGATATTAGGAAGTGTAGGCCCTAGAACTTCGGGAAAAAAATTGTGAATAATAAATTAACCAAGAGAAATCGCTGGAAATAGTTTTCAAGTTCGTAGCTCGGCCGCAAGGGGGCACAATCTACATACCAGAGTTGAATTTTTTCAGAAATGTTTAACAAAATGGTTAACTGGATTCATTGCACATAACTTTTGTTATAGACATTTTGTTATATCTCTCGACAGAAAGGGTGGGGGAAGCCCCTAATGTCTGATCAGAGAAATGCATTTTTTTAAGAATTGGCTCATCGAAAATCCATAGTGTTATACCTCGTTGGAAAGGTTTTTGCATGTTTTATCTCGTGGTGAATGCGTAATGTAATTTATCTCAATATGGAAACCTATGGATGGCATTATTCCAAAAGAATGCCTATTATGGATTTTTCCCAAAAATTTTAAAAGCAATGCTATACTTACTTTTCTTTTCATAAATGAATTCAGCACAAAAAATTGATGAAATGAAAATAATGATAAGTTTGAAATTTCTAACGAAAGTGTTGTTTACTTATTGCTGCTATTTATCCAAGTTTAGGTTGTTTCACGTTTTCTTAAAAAAGTGAAATAGCAAGATAAAACATTTTATAGGTTAGTTTGAAGAGCGTAAAAATAGCTACATTTTAACGCCAAAAAGGATTTGATAACTTTTTTTATTATCAAGTTATTCGCAAATTAGTGGGCCAAATAAATAATGACAATGAATTGAGGAACACGACGCTAACGAAAAGACATTTGATTACCAAAACAAGATGCATTTATAAAGGAACCTACCTAAACCCACAGAAATGAGTGAGTCAATAACAATCTTGAAAATAATAACAAAAGCAATATCAAACAGATATTGATATTATGATGTTTATAAATGCTCGAATTCACAGGCCAACAAGGAAAAAATTCCAGAGATCAGACACTACGTTTCCGAAGGCATTTGNGAAGAAAATGAAGCCCAAACACTACATAAATTTTTGAAATAATTAGTTTTTTCCTAAAGCTTATAGTTTGGCAACAAGCGATTATTTCATAGCGCGCTAAACTGATGCATGGGGCGTCCAACGTAATGTGTAATCTACATAGTGTACGGCTTGCGGAATTTGGAGTATATAGGTTCGTGCGTAATAAGCAGTGTGTAATAATCATTAGAACATATTTTATTATATTTAAATTTTGTCTAATACAATTTTCACCAATCGATAAACTTTTTTATTTATGATTTTTTTTAATTTTTTTTATATACATGCAGCGAAAATGAAGCCCAAACACTATATAAATTTTTGAAATTAGGAAAAAATCTGCATTTGACATTCTTAAAAAAATATTGTCGTCCTTCAATCGGAATTGCCAATGCTGTCTAATAACGAAGCTTTAGAAATCGTTACAAAATTGGTTCTTCTACTGTACAAAACCAAAGATAAACAAATTCTAAAATTAAATGATCTAAGAGTCAAATTAGCAACAACAACAAACAAACCATCATGGGAACTTCCTCCAACTGACGGCGCTTTTTACCAACACTTCTTAAGGTAAATGTAAATATTTAAATAATAAATTTCTTAGCTAATATATTATAATTAACTATTGCAGGTGTATGTATCAACTTAAAATATGGTATAACAGCAATATAGCAACACCACTTATAAATTCAGATGGTTCAGGATGGAATATAACTGACAATGTTTGGACTCCAATATTTTCCAATGATAAGCCAATTCCTGATTTTTTTCGGCAATCATTAAGCATTTATTGTTCAGATAAAAATTGTGACAATAGAAAATGCGGGTGTGTTAAAGAAGGCCTAAAATGTTGTAACGAGTGTAAATGTCGTTCTTGTAATAACTTTATTAAATATTTCGAGGAAGATATGGAGGAAGATGACGAATTAGAATGTTTTTAATTTAGGATCTAAATTGCTAAATATAAACAATGTGGCAAATATTAAATGATTTTTTATCAATAATAATTATAAATGGCAATTGGTGTTTGTCATATTGGTATATTTTTAAAATTTTAAAATACATAGTACATAGGTATGTCAATATTCCAACAATCATACTAAATAATTTTATAAATAATAACTGTAGATATGACTGAATAAATAGGTATAAGAAACCAAACTCACAGGCGGAAAAATAAATTAAATCAGCTCTCAAAATTCGCTAGTTTTTTACCTTAGCTGTATACCAAATATGTAGGTACCAAAATAGGTAAGTTATTTTGAAGTTAATAAAATCGATAAAAATTTGACTACTCCACACGAAAACGCGACGCGGCGATCTGATATTAGATAGACGACGGGCGGTAAACAGTCTAATGCGAGAGCCAGGTGTGCAAAAATGTGGCTTCAGTTTGTTTAAAAAAAATTGCGGTCGTCATACTGTAAGATGCTCATAAAAAATTATGATTTTATAAACATTTCTCATGTATTGGCTTTATTTTTTTCGCAGCATATACATACAAATTTTCACAAATAAAAGTTTTTCTCGATTGCTGAAAAATACATTCACCAAAATAAAAGGTTTAAATTTGTTATTATTTTAACAAATCAAAAATATATATTATATACATATTCGCGTGATACGTCTGATTGCAAAATACAGGTAAGATCAATGTTTTGAAACCTAGCATATGATTTACGACAGTCTATAGTCTATAAGGTATTTTATTTTAATTTCGCCATTTAAAATATTGTTTTTTTTTTGACAACAAATCTTGAATTCTAGGTCTTTGTACTACAGATTTGTCATGATCCCTCACAGTTTTCTTACAAATAATGCACTCCATTGTCTTAAAAAAACACACTGCTTATTAGGCACGTACATAACTACCTACTCCCCAAATCCCGCAAGCCGTACACTATGTAGATAGATTACTTACACATTACGTTGGACGCCCCATGCATCAGTTTAGCGCGCTATGAAATAATCGCTTGTTGCCAAACTATAAGCTTTAGGAAAAAACTAATTATTTCAAAAATTTATGTAGTGTTTGGGCTTCATTTTCTTCGCTGCATGTATATAAAAAAAATCATAAATAAAAAAGTTTATCGATTGGTGAAAATTGTATTACACAAAATTTAAATATCAAGTTT